CCCCTTGGTAAATTTCAGCCTCTGTTGCTTTTTCCTATTCTTTAAAATACAAGTTGCTTCATACTTTGAAATATTTCATGAACACAGAAAAATAGAATAATATAATCTCTATACAGAATAGTTAAATCTTAACATTGGGTATTTTTTGCTTTATATTAAAAACTTAAAATTGTATTTAAAAACATTGCACATATAGTCAGTGCTGCCTGTGTACCCCTCCCAGATGCCATTTTCCATTTTCCTTCTACAGAAGCATCAGTCCCTTGTATGGCTTTCTACTTACATTATATGTATGTATATTTATAAGGTGTGTGTATAGTTTGAGGATCCCAAACTTTGTACAGTATGGTATTTTACTGTGTGTATATTCTGCAACTTGCTTTTTCATTTTAACATTCTGTATAAAATATATCCATGTAGATGTGTGTAGCAGTAATTCCTTCATTTTTGCTTTATGGTATTCTAGGATTATATTGTGTAGTTTAGTCATTCTGTCAGGGGAGTTTTTGGACATTACCATGCTTTGCTATTAACTATGTTGCTATAAACATGTGGCACATTATCTTCTTGTGAATAGTTAATAGCTTCTCCAGAGTTTGGATCTAGAGGTAGAATTGCTTGTACATAGGTATGTGCATCCTTGAGTTCTTATATGTTGCCAGATCATTCTCCAGAGGAATTGTACCAATTTCAGTGCCTCACATCACTGTCTGGGAGTTCCTATTGCTCCATATCCTTGCCGAGCCTTGGTATTGTCAGACTTTCAAATTTTTGCTAATTGAAAAAATATTCTATTTTCTTGATTTCTGGTGTATTTGAGCATCATTTCTAATGTTTATTTGGCTATTTTAGTTTCTTCTTTTGTTATGATTTGTATCTCTTATGTTTTTCTATTAGATTGCTTCCCCCTTCTATATATTTTTATGTCTTTATATATTCTGGTTATTTTATTTATCTTTTGTTGATATTTTAAATTTTAAATATGTTCTCCCAGTAGCTTTTCTTTCCACTTTATGTGCTTTGTTGTGTTCAAGTTTTACTTTTAATTAAGGTTGTTTATTGCCTATAACAACCTGATAGGCAATAGATTGTTTTAGTCTGCTTGTTTATGGTTGGTGCTTTTTGCATCATATTTAATAAATCTTACTACTGTGTACTTTGGGGTTCTAAAGAGATTCTACCATATTTCTTTTTTCTAAAAGTTTGCTCTGCTCTTCAGCATAAATCAAATCCATATGGAATTTATTTCTGTGTGTGGGTATAAGATAGGGAATAATTTTCCATGTGAATAAACTAGTTGCACAAGCCAGCCCATCTGATGCATAGTCCATTTTTCCCCTCACTAATTTGTATGCCATTTAGACTTGCTTTCAGTGGGATTGCTCAGTATGTACAGGTTCTGCTACATTTGTCTGTAATATATTCTTGTGTCACTTCTACACTGTCTTACAGGGGCTTTATAGATTTATATACTGTATTATGTATGGCCCTGTGGTAAGGACCTTTAATAGATGGTTATGGTTGGAACTTAGGTTCTGGCGATAGAATCCTGGGTGGCTGCATTAGGAAAATAGATGGACATGATATTGTGAAGGATTTTGAGCAGAACTTTGAGGATACAGATTAAATATGTGTGCCTATGGGGCCTAGTGGGTCCCTGGATGCTGGTGGGGATAGCAGTAGGGACTGGGCTGTGATCTTTTAACACCAACCAATGGTTTTTTCCCAAGGGGACTAAGAACCTCAAAATATTAGTATTTGTGCATTCCCTACAAACTTGTATATATGCTTTATGGGATTTTTTCTGGAGACCTTTCTGTTACTTTTCCTTAAAATGTTATTTACCCTCTTGAAACCTCACCAGATGCTTCAGTCTTGTATCACCTGAGAAAGCCTTTAGAAACCCATTCATTGCTTTGGTGTTACAGCCTTCATTTAAAAATGGCCATTTTCTTTTTTTAGTTAATGTGACACTTAAAAAAAAAAAAATCTTGAGGTTTACTCCCCCCACTTTGCACTGAATTGAGGCATAAAAAAATGAATGCTATTTTTAAATACTATTATTCTTTTGGAAAAAAAAAAAAGGTTCAATTTAAAATGTTTGTCTAAACTGCAGGGAGTTTCTATCAACTATGCTTGCTCCTACTAAGAATGAGTAACATGACCTTTCTTGGATTTTAGAGAACAAGAGTGATGTCACGATGCTCCAAATGTATGTCATCTTCCTTGTTTGGGTGGCATTTGAACTCTTATTAAGTAGAACTGAATTAGTAATAATCAAATAACTTAGAGAAAATTGGCAATATACAAGTCATTAAGCCCTTTGGTGCTTCTGCAATGTTTGAAAAAGAACTGTTAAAAGAGATGCATAATGGGGAGGGAGAGTAAAACAAAAACTATGTTTTTCAAATTGGAAATGTCTTTATTCTCTTTGCAAACTATAAAAGTACAAAAAGTTTACACAATACCAAAGGGTATAAAACAGCACTACCCAGCAGAACTTTCTGCAGTGAAGGAAATGTTCTGTGCTGCCAATACAGTAGCCGTTAACCACATGTGGCTATGGAGCACTTGGAAGGTGACGAGTGCGATTGCAGAACGGAATTTTAAATGGTATTTAATTTTAATTAATTTAAATGTAAACAGACACATGTGGCTAGTGTCTATTGTACGGGACATTCAGAGTGATAGCCATTTCGGAGTGTACCCTTCCGTGTCTGTCCTTGTGTATCTGTTGGTTTCTATCTGCTGCCTCCTGCCCATTTCTTCTTTCTCTCTGTGTCCTACCTATCTCTCCTATCTGTTTGTTTTCCTCTCACTTTCTCTCTGTTTCTGTAGCTTTTAGCCTGCCTTGCACATACTCTCCCTGCCTACTCTCATCTGCCAGCCTACCTGCTGCTGTCCTTACCTGTCTCATTCTTTCTCTTGCTCTATGTATGTGTTATATACACACATAACCCATTCTGCTTAGTTATATATCATGGACATTTTCCTTTTTCAGTACATATAGATCTATCCAAGTTTTTGTTTTTGTTTTCAATGATAGGATAATTTCAGTGGAATGAATGTACCAGTACTTACTTAACCTGATAGGCAATAGATTGTTTTCATTTTTTTCCTTCGTAAATATATGTGTATTTTTAACTACTACAGTTTTTCCTATTATAATTTTTCCTGTGTGCTTTTTGAATACTTTGTTATTGTGCATGGGGCAGGCTTGTTCAAAACTGTGAAATCTACCTTTTGTTTTGTACTTTGGTACCTGTTGGAATTCACTTAGCAATTGAAATAAAGACACCTCTAGAGTCACTTACCTGTAGCTTCAAGGACCATATTAAGGTTACAAGTCTTTAACAGTGCAGTGTGCTAGGGAGAAAGAAACTAGAATGCTTTATTGACATGAGTGTCTGCTCATTGCTGTCTATCTCAAGTTGGCCAGTGCAATTGCATCTACCTTTCTTGAGGCCATCTTGTCAAGGGTGTTTGTAAAGGCATCAGCAGGCTAACCCTCAGTCCAACCCCTCCATCTTTGCTTCATGGTCAGAATTCCATTTGGGAACAATACCTGGGGCTCCAGGTCTCTGATCTCTCATAGATTTGGAAGGAAATCTTAATTCCTACCCAAGGTTTAATTGAAAAAGAATGGTCATGTTTGCCAAAGGAGGCAGCTTGGAGGGGAAGCCTCAGAGAAGTTTCTGGTAGCAGTAGGGGTGGGTGAGGGTCAGCGGAATCACTCTCTGGCTAACACCTCAGTTCTGTTGAGTTGGCAATTTTTTTGCCACATCTCCCAGAATTTCCTGAAAATATTCTGTTGCCACTCATCTGATAAAAACCCTTGGTCTTTCTAAAATAACTTGTTTAATGAAATTCCATGTAATAGTTGCTTTTGTTATTTAGCAAATGGACTTTCATAGCCCTAACCGGTTTGGCTCAGTGGATAGAACGTCAGCCTGCGGACTCCAGGGTCCCAGGTTTGATTCCAGTCAAGGCCATGTACCTTGGTTGCGGGCCCATCCCCAGTAGGGTGTGTGCAGGAGGCAGCTGATCAATGTTTCTCTCTCATCGATGTTTCTAACTCTCTATCCCTTTCCCTTCCTCTCTGTAAAAAAAAAAAAAAAAAAAAAAAAAAATCAATAAAAAATATTTTTTAAAAATGGGCTTTCATACACTAAATCTGTTTTCAAAGTTTATAATATGCTGAGGTCATTTCCAGGTGATGTTCCAAGTGATGATTAAAGATTTTTGTGTTTATCTGAAAAATATTTTTCTTAAGGACAGTGATGTATTTATAGGAAATAATTAAAATAATGCTGCTTGAAAAACAAAGGGCTTGCGGAACACACATCTGAGCCGCCTTCCCCTTCATTAGTTTAGTCACTTCCAGCACAGAAATTGTAATCCTTCCCTTAAATAATTACTTTCAAGGACTAAATTCAAAATCCTGGATGTCTCTGGCTACTTTAAGAAAAAGCTAAAGAGATAGCAATGTTATAAGGAATAAAAAGTATACAGAGAGCTTTTATTTTACTGATTCTACTAAGAAAAACCACACATACCACTTTGGGAAATTCTTGTACTCTGCTGAGATTAATTTGTGTACTTAGCTTTAAGAAGTGACTATAGGAACAGTGTCCTCTCTTTAAAAATGAGTTGTTATTTTCTTTCAGAAAACTTTAGTTTATACGTATAGCCATGTTATATTGCCAAATAGCTGGAAGTCCAAAGCGTATTAAATCCTAAATATTAGACAAAACAATAAAAAATATTAATATTGATTTCACCCTCTGCTCTTTTCAGAGTTAGCCTGTATTATGCCTGTGTTAGGAAAATTTTTAAACCCTATGATCATTTATTCATCAGAGTATTTGTGTGTGTGTGTCAGAACAGTTGGTAAGAATAAACTTTTTTTTTAATTTGGAAGTTTAAAGTATAATTAGAAAGTCAAGACAAGCTAAAAATGAGGTTTAGCATGAGGTTTTTTGGTTTGTTTTCTTAAAATCAAAATTTAGATTAATAATTGAAATACTTTTTATGTTATTTCACATAATAGAGAACCAGGAATGTTGTTGACAAAATAATAACACTAATTGCTAACATTTATTGACTACTTTCTATGTTCCCAAAACTCTACTGTGCACCTCACATCTAATATTTTTTCAATGCTCCCTTTAATCCTGTGAAGTAAGTACCTTTGTCACCCCCATTTAAAAAAAATTCTGCAGCTTTGAAAGTTTAAGTGGTTTGCCCACCAACTAGAAAATTTCAGAGCTGGAATTTGAACCCAAGCAGGCTGACAAACAAAGGAGAAAGCTTCCAGCACCACAGGTCTTATGTGACACGGTCTCTCATGAAATATGGGTGAAATGTTATGACAGTTAGGTGAGTACATCAGCCAGGAAACAACCAGCACTGAAAATGAAGCCCATGAGCAACTACTGAATGAATGCCTTCTTAGTGCCAAGCATGACTCCAAGCACTTGATATCTTTGTCTCATCACATTTGCACCCCACAAGGGAAGTATTATTTATACCCATTTTACAAAGAGGCTTAGGGAGGCTAAATGACTTGCCCTTAGTTGTGCTTCTTGTAACTTCTGAAGTTGGGATAGTACAGAGTGATGGATTAACATTGATAAGAAAGATTTTTATTAGTTTAGAAGGATTTGTCAAGTTCTGTTCAGTTAAATATTTTAGTAATTGACTAAGATCTATAATAATAAAAGTGTAATATGCTAATTAGACCGGACGTCCTCCCGGACGACCTTCCAGACGAAGCTGCGGCCTCGGGGGCCGAGGCAGAGGCAGCTGTGGTAGCAGTGGGGGCTGAGGCAGTCGCCATGGTGGCGGGGGCCAAGCCCCTTGCACGAATTTCATGCATCGGACCTCTAGTGAATATATAAAGGGCAAATTTCAAATGACAAAAAGCTGAGAGAGAATATATAAATTGGAGAATGGATCAAATATTCAAAAAGATCTTTTTGATTTGTTTTCTTTTTACACATAATTAATACAATCATTTGTTTAGAGGTAATAATAAAACAATACTAAAAATTAATCTCAGCATGTTCTTCCTCCCAGGAGCACATCTGCACCTTTCCCCTCTCGCTCTCCCTCTCCATCCCCCACAGGCCTGCATCTCCTAAACTCTAAGGAACCCCACACGGCTTGCAACCAGGGCAGCAATGGACAGTAGCAGTTCATCCTGGACAAACACCCTGCACCTCTTCTCAACGCCCCCGTTTCTCTGACTTCTTAATGAGCCAGAGTTGCCCAGCCTAAGCTCGTTTCTCTACCTATTCCCTCTCCTATTATCCTAGGCCCTTCCTTGTTTCACTGTCCCCAGATTTAATAAACATCCTCTAAATTAAAAAATAAAATTCACCCTCACCTCTGCCAGAAACCACTCCATCACATTATCCCAGTCACACACAGTTCAATTTTGTTTATCTTTTCAAAGAACCAGCTTTTGGTTTCATTGATCTTTTCTGTTCATTTTTTAGGCTCTATTTTCTTTATTTTTACTCTGACCTTTACCATTTCTTTCCTTCTTCTCACTGTATGCTTTGTTTGTTCTTGTTCTAGTTCCAGTTCCTGTAGGCATAAGGTTAGATTGTTTATTTGAGATTTCTTTCTTGTTTCTTGAGGTAGACATGTTTGCTATCCATTCCCTCTTAGAACTACTTTGGCTGTGTCTCATAAATTTATATCTTAATTTTCATTTATCTCAAGGTATCTTTTGATTTCTTCCTTGATCTCATTGTTTAGTAGCATGTTATTTAGCTCCCCCCTTTTTCAGTTTTCTTCTTGTCATATATACACTTTATTATGTTGAGGTATGTTTTGTCTAGTTCCACTTTGCTGAGTTACTTCCTACCATTATGATCCGAGAAGATGCTAAATGTGATTTCAGTCTTCTTAAATTTATATAGGTTTGTTTTGTGGCCTAACATGTGGTATGTCCTGGAAAATGTTCAATGTGCACTTGAAAGGAATGTATATTCTACTGCTTTTGGGTGAAATGTTCTAAAATATCAGTTACCAAATATCTAATACTAGAGGCCCGGTGCATGAAATTTGTGCACTCGGGAGGGGGGGGGTGTCCCTCAGCCCGGCCTGAACCCTCTCGCAGTCCAGGAGCCTTTGTGGGATGTCAGACTGATGGCTTAGGCCTGCTCCCTACCTGAGCAGGGACATCCTTAGTGCTGCTGTGGAGGCGGGAGAGGCTCCCACCACTGCCGCTGTGCTCGCCAGCCATGAGCCCAGCTTCTGGCTGAGAGGCGGAGGCTCCCCCTGTGCCCTTGACAGGAATTGAACCCGGGACTCTTCAGTCCATAGGCCAATGCTCTATCCACTGAGCTAAATCAGCCAGGGCAGTTGACTTTATTAAGTATTTGCCTTTGTCAGTGAAAATTTATTTTTTTCTTATTTGCATTTCTAATCTTTTGTTTTTTAAAGATGTCTCTCTAATCTATAATAATAAAAAATTAATATGCTAATTAGACAGGACAGCTGGACATCTTTCTGGACGAAGCTGTCACGGCAGTGGCTGAGGCAGAGGTGGTTAGGGGCGATAAGGCAGGCGAGCAGTTAGGGGCATCAGGCAGGCAGGCGAGTGGTTAGGGGCAATCAGACAGGCAGGCAGAGTGGTTGGGGCAGATGCGGCAGGCAGGCGAGCAGTTAGGGGCAATCAGGCAGGCAGGTGAGCAGTTAGGGGTGATCAGGCAGAGTGGTTAGGGGCGGTCAGGCAGGCGTGCGAGTGGTTTTGTGCTACCAGGCAGGCAGGTGAGTGGTTAGGGGTGATCAGGTAGGCAGTCAGAGTGGTTAGGGGCGATCAGGCAGGCAGGCAGGCGAGCGGTTAGGAGCCATTGGTCCCGGATTGCAAGAGGGTGCAGGCCAGACTGAGAGACTCCCTTCTGTGCACAAATTTCGTGCACCGGGCCTCTAGTATATTGTAATGCTGATTTAGTGGTGATGATCTTCATTAGCTTTTTCTTGTCTGGAACGTATTTCTCCTTCAATTCTAAATGATACACTTGCCAGGTAGAATAATCTTGATTGTAGGTCCTTACTTTTCATCATTTTTAGTATTTTGTGCCAATCTCTCTTGAGTTGCAAAGTTTCTGTTAAGGAATCAACCAACAGTCTTATGGAAGCGCCCTTGTACATAAGTAAGTGTCTTTTAAATTGATTTTAGAGGAAGAGAGGAGGGAAATTAGGAGAAAGAGAGAGAGAGTGAGAACCATCAATGTGAGAGGGCAACCTTGATCACCCGTCTTGCCCTGACTGTGAATTAAACCTGCAACCTTTTGGTACACAGGATGATGCCCCTACCAAATGAGCCACCTGGCCAGGACTGTCTTTTTTGTTATAGTCATTCTGGTGACTGTAAAGTGGTATCTCATTGTGGTTTTAAGTGCATTTCCCGAGTAATTAATAATATTGAGAATCACACATACACAGAAAGAAATATTCCAACTCAATAAAAAGACAAATGACCTAAATATTTATTTATTTACTTATTTATTCTTTTATTAGAGAGAGAGCTGTGAGAAAATTGATCGGCTGCCTCCTGTAACCCCCCAGCCAGACCGGGGATCGAACCTGCAACCTAAGTATGTGCCCTGAACGGGAATTGAACCCACAATCTTTTGGTGTATGGGACAATGCTACAACCAACTGAGCCACACCTGCCAGGGCCAAATAACCTAATTTTCAAATGGGCATTTCTCAACATCATTAGTCATTAGGGAAGTGCACATCAAAACCACAGTGAGCTACTACTTCATGGCTACTAGGATAACTATGTGTTGTTGTTTTTTCTTTAAGGAGGATTTGGAGAAATTAGAACCCTTATATTTTGCTGGTAGGAATGTAAAATGATGCAGCCACTGTGACCAACAGTTGGATAGTTCCTCAGGCAATTAAGCATAAAGTTACTATGTGACCCAGTTATTTCACTCCCATGAAAATACCCAAGAGAATTGAAAACATATGTTACACAAAAAGTTGTAATTGAATGTTCATAGCAAATTATTCATAGTAGCCAAAAAGCAGAAATAATTGAAAGTCTGTTCACTGAAGAATGGATAAACAAATTGTAGTAGATCCACACAATGGAATATTATTCAGCCATAAAAAAGAAGGGAATACTTATACCTGGTACAACATGAATGAATCTTGAAAACATGTCAAGTGAAAGGAGTTATACACAAAAGGCCATGTATTATATGATTCTGTTGATATGAAGTGTCCAAAATCTGCAAATCCATTGTATGTTCTATTGATACAAAATATTTAGAACAGGAAAGCCATAGATTAGTGGTTGCCAGGAACTGGGAGTAGAGAGAACAGGAAATGACTACTAATGCATATGGGATTTATTTTTAGATATGAAACCAGTGTTCTGAAATTAGACGGTAATGGTTGCACATCTTGTGAACATACTAAAAATTATTGAGTTGTGTAATTTAAAATGATGAATTTTTGGCATGTGAATTATATCTTAACAGAAAACTCTTAATACAATTTTCACAGTTGATTAAAATTGCTATTTTATGATATACTAGAGGCCCGATGCACAAAATTTGTGCAAGAGTAGACCTTCACAACCCCGGCTGCCTCAGCCACCCTCTCAGCCTTGGCATTGTCGGGAAGGTCATCTGGATGGTAGTTCAGTTGTTCGGCAGTTTGGTCAATTTGCATATTATGCTTTTGTTATTATAGATATCAGTATGTTTAATACAGAGAAGAATTCACAAGTATTTCGAAGGACTATGATACAGTGAGAATAGATTATTTCATATTGAACTAATAGTGTTTGAAATGTGTTCATAGTTGTACTAGAATGCTGTTACAAAACTCTGAATGTGAACTTTTATTTGGTGTGTACTCTGAACTGTTATTTTAGGGTACAGTATTAGCACATTTGCATAAAGATAGACAGTAATGACATTATATCTAAGTAGTAATTTGTATTAAGAGATTCCAGAAAACTTTAAAACTTTAAAAAGACTCAAATTTCTAATTGAGATGTCCTTGGCGTCAACATAAATCTTTAAAATGCTTTGTGGTAGAACCTCTCTTATCTATCCTCCACTTGTTCAGTTTGTTGGATTACCACTCTCTCCAATCCCCTTGTCTTAGGACATACTGAATGGTCATGGCTAGGAAATGACACTGAAGTCTGGTGATGCATCTGTTCTCACTAAGTTGTATGCTAACCAAAAGTCAGCTGTGTTTATTCCTAAATCTGTTTATGCCAGTAGTTGTAGTAATCATAATTATGTAGTTTGACTAAATATTATGTAAACTGATGAAATAAGAATGCAAAAAAGTTAAATGTTTGGGAACATAGAGGTATATTACTTAATACTTTTGAA